GCACTGCCTATAACCCGTGTGTATTATTTGAACATAAAAACAACAAAAGGCCCGTCAGTGCACTAGTAGGTGGGATCAATGATCCAAATAGTCACATGAAAATGCCAAAGAAAAGGCAAAAGAAAGTCTCAGAATACTGCCAAAATGGGTGTGCTGATCTTTGCACAGGTAGATCTGGGTCGTTCTGGTTTTGTCTCCTTGTATAATAGTTGTGTCCATACGATCCCTAGAAGATTGGTGTTAGAGGTGTCATCGCCCCAAGGTGTCTGCTGAAAGACAAGGATGTAATAGTGTTACTTGAAAGCACTCTTCTCTCTGCTATTCTTGTGAGTGCATCCCCCATGTACTTAATGTGCATAAATCCACATTTAATGCACTTGGTGGTGTGGTCTGCTTTCTTTCTTTTAATATTTGAAGTCCAACTGAAGCCTTCTGCATGCTGAGAAACGGAGAGGGTGTTTCTGACCAGGCCTAATAGACTGCCATGCCCACAGGTCACTGTAGTCAAACTATGCTGATGTTATTTGTCTATGTAGTTTCCCTGGAATTCAGCATCAAGTTTTGTGTACTTTAAAAACGACCCTGTGTCTGCATCCAGCTCAGTATATTCTGCTCAGAATATTAAATTGCCAGACAATGTGTGCCATTATTTCCATTTGTCTTCACAGGTCAGACTGTGCTATCTTGTACAATGATCGATCAGTACTGGAAAACCACCATGTCAGCGCAGTGTATCGAATCATGCAAGATGATGAAATGAACATATTTGTGAATCTTACCAAGGATGAGTTCACGTAAGTTTGTTGTTCTTTCTAATTAATATTATTTTGTTCCCAATAGTAGCAAAGCGTGAAGGGATAATTAAAAAAAATGGACATGTTCAGAATTTAAGGCTTGTTCGCTCTTAACAGTAGAAAACATTATTAACATAATTAGGAGCTTATGGACAGTGAAAGCATTTTATTACCACCGGTATTAATGAATTGATAATCAGGCCTGTTCTGGAGGGGAATAAACAGATGTCTGCTGGTTTTCGCATTGATTTTTTTATTATCAACAGATCCCAGGCTACTTGCGCATCTTGAGCTACAGCAAAAAGAAAAGCATTAAAGTATGATTACATCGGCCTGGTGATTGTAACTGTATTCAGCAAATAAAAACACATGAATGCAACATGAAGTACATGTAGTAGCTAGGGAAACTTTACAGGGAAACTTCCTGCTGAGCTGGAGCAAAACTCGCTTCTTACACGTCATGTGTCTGGTAGGCACAAGCAAAGAGGCTTTAGATTAGGCAAAGGGCAGGAACATCAATAGTTAGTGGATTCATGAATATTTGCCTTCACAGAAAGACACAATGTCACATATCATGTCAATAATGTGTTGGAACAGCCTTCCGGTAAGAATCCAGGCCAAAAGGCTCAACAATGTCATGTGTAAGGGCCTCTGTGATCTGTTCGTATGGCCACACAGCTCAATGGATTTGCTTGGGTGCCTATATCTCCTGTAAAGTGCTGAGAGCTGAACAATAACACGTTACAGATTAACAAACATTCGTCTTGCACTGTGTTGCATACATTGCTTGAGTTACATATGAGAAGTTCTTTTGTCCAGCATTCCTGTTTTCTCATTCTGCATTTTCAGGGAGTTAAGGTCTCTCGTTATTGAGATGGTCCTGGCCACAGACATGTCTTGTCACTTCCAGCAAGTGAAAACCATGAAAAGCTCCCTACAGACACTGGAGACGTGAGTACACATATACATTCTTCATTTTATAAAACAGAAATGTGTTAGAAGAGAATAGTCTTCCTACTAGCTCAGAAAGACAGTTGCTATGTTGTAAAATCCATAATGCAAAATCACAATAGTGCTGCTTTAAGTGGAGCTCTGGCTGGCAGTCATTCTCAGCTAACACTGTTGAAGAAGATGTTATTTGCAGGTCACAAAACAAACAACCTGCAGCTACCGCCAGAATGGCCCCTTTGCAGCCACAAATTCTGTAGTAAACTGTTTTTACAACTTTTTGATTCATTCTGACAATATTGGTGTTCACTGCTGTAGACTTTCAATCTGGGGTAACACACTAAAATCATAACTCCCAACTGGCAATTGGCACGCCCCTGTCATGATCCCAGTTATCTGGATCATTAAGCATTTCTATACCAAAAATTATTTGTTAAACTCAGAATAGTTGTTTTTTTTCACCATACTTTTCCTTCACACTGGCTTTTCAAAATAGTGAACAGGATAATTAGGTGATAAGATATAGGTTTCGGTGCAGAATAACACTTTTGGTAGTTAAAAAGAATATTTTCAAAGAAATTTTTACATCAAACCAAAAAGAAGGACAGCTTGAGAGGAAAGAGGGACGGAGGAATTTAGTTCCAAATGTGGGACAGTTGGGAGGTATGATGACCAGTGTCCCCAAATGAATTGCTGATGAATAGAGTCTAAATGCAGTATAAAATATCCATAGTAACATACTTCGCTTCTATAATGAGTAGTTTGAAACAAGTCTGCTTTAAGATATCAGTGAGCCAATAAAAAAAATGTTATCAGTACGTTTTATATGGAAATTGAACTTATCATTGTAGGGAGGCAGAGTGAACTATTCTGGATAGTGTGGTAAAGGTTTAGAGCCTCTGTCAAGGTTGTATCGCTTTTTGTGTCCCTGCTTGGAAGTTTAAATTTCACTTCCCATGGTGGGAAGACTAAAAACTGACAGAACTTTAAACTCTTCCCGACACTAATAAAACAAAAATGGCTGGAATTCCGTTTTCAAACATATTTTGTTTACACTAATATTTCAAGATCATGCTAATAAAGGAGTTTTCCTGAGAACTTTTTATTCCCAGATCCTAGAGGGTTGGGATAAAAATAGTTTTTCATCTTGGTTTCTTAAATATTGTTCAATGGTGGCCCACCTTTCTTTGTGGTTAGAGTGAATACGTCATGCAGTAACTGCAGCAATTACATGGCTTTTGTTTAATACATGTCTTGATCTGCTTACCATGTCTGTCTGGGTTCTACTTGCAGCACTGACAAATCAAAGGCATTATCTCTACTACTCCATGCAGCTGACATTAGCCACCCTACAAAGCAGTGGAAAGTGCATGCACGGTGGACCAAAGCTCTAATGGAGGAGTTCTTTAGACAGGTAGCTAACACCATTATGGTTTATTATTCTACCTCTGCATAATTAATCTTTATTTCATTGATATATATCATTTGCAGAAACCTAGGTTTATTGTTTTTTTCATGTGACTGGAGAACCATTGCGAAATACATAGATCACTAATGCTCGCTTGTGCAAGCAATGTGGAATATGCAGTGGCATTATCAAACCTGAATGATGCTATTGAAATGAAAAGCTTAAAAAACAAAAAAATTATAACACAAGCAGCATAATATTTATATTTAAGCTGTTATTTTATTTACGAACAGCACTATTACATGCATAATAACCAAACAGAAAGCAAAGATAGAGCTTTTCTAGCAAACATGAATCATGCATACCATGGAATTATTATTATTATTAGGGATGCACCGATACTTTTCAGATACCAGTGCCGATACTTGGCGTTTTCATGAGAACTACCAGGGTTGCAGCTTGGACCAGGCTCTGGCGCTCCACCACTGTCCTGAAATCATTAGTCGATATTGTTTTTAAAAAACTGTCACATGACAATAAAGAAAAATGTATCAGTACTTGTACTTGTAAGTACATGGACAAGTATCAGTACTTGCACTTGCAAAAATTGTATTGGTGCATCCCTTTATTTATATTTATAAAAACAACCTCATACATTAAAACAGAGCTGTACAAATCCCAGGAGCTCCGTGTGCTCCTTACTAATGACAGCTGCCTATTAACTTTTGAATTTGTCTGTAGTCTAGTCTTGGAGCTCAAAAAGTATCTGTACTTGTACTTGTACCCAGTACGGTACTTGGTATCAGTGCCTCACTAATTATTATTACTATACTGGATTTATATTGCGCCAACAGTTTGCGCAGCGCTTTACAATATACAGAAGACATTACAATCACAATCCAATCCAATTGGAATCCAATTAGAGGGGTTTTCAGAAAGTCAGTTTTTGTGTAATGTGTACATAAATAGGATTATTATTATTTCCCATTTGTGGTATCAGAGAGATATGTTTATTGAAGATTCAATGAGCAATTCATCCAACATTCTCACCAGAAAGCATAAAAAAACCTCTACACTACTTCATTTGGCTAACATTCGATTTGGCAACATTCGCCCATTAGCCGCCACATCATACATCAAGCAAATGTAGACAGAAACTGGAGGGCAAATCTTGTCAAATGACACTTGGGAAAATGGCTATTAATAACTAGACATGTGCACTGCCAAAACATTTGTTTAGTTTCGTTTTAAATTCGGATTTGTGTTATTTCGTTTTTCGGGATTCGGGTGTGAAAGTCAATTCGGACGAAATTCGGTAGCGGTAGTTCGTTCGAACGTTCGTTTCGTTTTCGTTTCTTATTCGTTTCTTTCATTCATTCGTTCGTTTGCAGCAAAGTGACATTTGAGGGGGAAAAATGTTTTTCTCCTCTAATGTCACTTTGCTCCAACGAACGAAACGAATAAGAAACGAAACCGAAACGAACTTTCGAACGAACTACCGCTACCGAATTTCGGAAACGGAAATTCGGATTCGTTTGCATTCGTTATATCTGTAATTCGGAAATTCGGATACATCCGAATGTCCGAATTTCTGAAAATTCGTCCGAATTTCGATTCGGAATGAACCGAATCGCACATGTCTATTAATAACTTACTGGACACATTTCCAATCAAATCTTTGTTAGCTACACTCTCCAGTCCCAATGCTTGTATCATGGAAGAGACTGAATAATGCAGAGTGGAAGTGGTTTGCTCGTATTCGGCCAGGCTACAGCTTAGTGGATAGAGAAATGTGTGTGCTTAGCGATATGGTGGAATAAGTAAGAACATTAGCAGCTGTGTATACACTGTTCTAGCTTGTAGGACTTTGTAAATATTATTAATAGGTACACTTTGTTAATATTTTGTAATTACGAATGATGAATCCTTTGGGCATTGTATGAATTGGATCCTATGTTCTTTGCGGAAAGGAAATTTTCAGTTGTCTCTGTTTTATTATTAAAAGGTAACATTGTCATAAGTAGAATGGGAAAAATGTTTTTCTCCTCTAATGTCACTTTGCTCCAACGAACGAAACGAATAAGAAACGAAACCGAAACGAACTTTCGAACGAACTACCGCTACCGAATTTCGGAAACGGAAATTCGGATTCGTTTGCATTCGTTATATCTGTAATTCGGAAATTCGGATACATCCGAATGTCCGAATTTCTGAAAATTCGTCCGAATTTCGATTCGGAATGAACCGAATCGCACATGTCTATTAATAACTTACTGGACACATTTCCAATCAAATCTTTGTTAGCTACACTCTCCAGTCCCAATGCTTGTATCATGGAAGAGACTGAATAATGCAGAGTGGAAGTGGTTTGCTCGTATTCGGCCAGGCTACAGCTTAGTGGATAGAGAAATGTGTGTGCTTAGCGATATGGTGGAATAAGTAAGAACATTAGCAGCTGTGTATACACTGTTCTAGCTTGTAGGACTTTGTAAATATTATTAATAGGTACACTTTGTTAATATTTTGTAATTACGAATGATGAATCCTTTGGGCATTGTATGAATTGGATCCTATGTTCTTTGCGGAAAGGAAATTTTCAGTTGTCTCTGTTTTATTATTAAAAGGTAACATTGTCATAAGTAGAAAGTTCTTTAATACAGCAATTCAATTTTGCTGTTTAGATACTCATCTCTTTCAATTATTATTTTCACAGCATTCCATCATCTAGAATAACTCCAACAATAACGCACCAATTGACTTTATGAGTCTAATAACAGACCGCATTGCAAGTCTCTCTGGGAGTATGGTTACTAAACTACTGTTCAAGCATTTTACATTTAAATTAAAAATATAAATCTGACGGTGTAGCAGATGTGAAAAACAACATGTTATGCCATCGTCGTTCCACGGTTAAAGAACATAGACACAAGAGCTTGTATATAGCCAATTGAAGTGCCTTATTTCCTCTGTCATGATACAAACATGGGATTTACCATTACTGGCTTCTTCTTTTTTTTTAAATGCTGGTATGTGTTCATTAAAGAATAAAAGAAACCAGTGTTACTACCGAAATTTGAATTCTGTAGCAGCCCGTTGCAATCTCCTGTATAGTGGAGCTTAGATTTGCAGAGAAATAAGCAGTATAAAGAGGTAATCAGTTGTGCTGCAGGAGGATAGAGCAGAGTGACTGAAAAATTAACTCATTAGTCAGCTGCTTCTCCTTCACTGTCCAATCACAGGCTGGGGGCAGAGACAAGACATAGTTGCAGTAGAGAGATCAGGTTTCTAGATTGGCTTTGTTGTGTAAATCTCAGAAATGAAAGCACCAAAATACAAATCACATGATGGGTAAACAGCTTTAAATCAAGGTGGTCAACATGAAAGTCAAAAAACATGCATTTCATATGAGACCTAAAACTGACTTTTCACTTTGGAGTGGATGCAGGCTTGGGAGACCTTGGAACTATGGCAGTGAAAGTTTGTGACTAAAGTACCTAAGAGACTATGGACCTGCCAGCATTAAATTGATATCAAGCTGACATGGCTTGCTAATAGAAAGCAAGATGTCTGTACGTTTGTGTGTGCTTTTTGTAATTACAACCTGCAATATGAAAATATCTACTTTAGCTTTGTCATGCAGAGCAGATTCATGTAATGCATATACATCAGGGACCAAAAAAGAAATGCATGCTTCAATATATGGGATGCAGTGAATGTGACTGACCAGCAAATCATGGCTAAAGTCAACATTTCCAAGTGTTACAGGTCTAGGTGGTATGTACTGGTAACTGATAATGCCACAATAATATTGAATTACTACCATCAGGTTCACTTTAAGATGCCAGTAGGCAAGTCATTTACCAGTTTTTACTGACAAATAGGGGGTGTATAATTCTCCCTACAACAGTGCTTCTTAATTGCTTGCTGTATGTGAAATACTTTTTTATTGATGTATCTTTCTTTCTTTTCCTTGGTGCAGAAGCTAATTTACTGTAGTAGTCTTCCATTTAATTCTATTTCTACCTCCTCCAGGGTGACAAAGAGGCTGAACTGGGGTTGCCATTCTCTCCACTTTGTGACCGCAAGTCTACATTGGTAGCTCAGTCTCAAATAGGTACGTTGCATCTTCCTTTATCACATAGTATGCTAAAAATTAGGGCTGCAAGCAACTAATCGATTAACCGATAATCGATAATGAGAATAGTTGTCAACTATTCTCATCATCGATTTGTTGGGTGGATCCCCTAGCTTTCTCCTCCTCTCCATGCTGGGAGGAGGGCACAGCAAGCAGTGGGCAGATGCAATAGCCAGCCTGCCATTGGCAATTGCAATTTGAAATGGCCAATAGCAGGCTGGCTATTGCACCAGCCCTCTACCTGCTGTATTTCCATTCAGCTGCCGCCTGCGGAATCTTGCCACTGGCAGCTGTCATTCCCTGGCTAAAGCTTTTCAAGCGTCATGTGCTTACAATACAATTATTTTTTTTTAAATGTATAAAAGGTGGGGAAAAAAGTAATGACAATGACACCCCAAATGCGCCTCCCACCCACAGTGTGATTGCCCGCACCAGAACCCATGGTACCGCAATGCTATGCGTTCCAGTGCATTGTGATTGCAAAAATTGCAAAACAGTATGCATTTAGTTTTATTCTGAAGTGAACTTTATGTTTGTAACACTGCATTTTGTATTTCATTTTAAATTAAGGATGGTAGATATGTCATTTTTAAAAATCTGATTGATTAATCAAAAAAATAATCGGCCAACTAATCGATTAAAAAAAATAATCATTAGTTGCAGCCCTACTGAAAATGTTAACCTGAAAGCAGAAGATAAGAATCAAATGTCCTTGAATGCTGATAAGGTCAACAAAGGTTATCTTATGATTCCTGGCATTACTGTTCATCTATAATATGTCATCTGCTTCTTTGCAGGCTTCATTGAGTTCATTGTCGACCCAACATTTTCAGTGCTGACTGATGTGGCTGAAAAGATTGTTCTTCCATTAGTAGAAGAGGGCAGCAAAACTAAACCAGCTGCTCCTGTCAACCAGTCCAGGTTTGTTCATATCCCTCTTCTTCTAAAAATGTAATTTAACTTAAACTAGATTCATGCTTGTGAAAAAAGAAAGAACCTTTGAAGAGAACATCTGTCATAAAAAGACAGCGGTGCAGGGGGCCAGGAATGGTTCCGAGTGTAGTTCCCATGAGAAATTTACTGCAGGAAATCATTTTGCAAAGATAAAAGGGTTATCTTTATAAGAACAACTATTCTTGTTAATCTGACTGATCTTGCCCTTTACAGTGGGCCTATATTTAAAATGTAAAGTAATTCTGTCTAACATAGGATAAGTTAGCAAGTTTATTGTAAAAAAGCTTATGAGTACTTTTAGCATATCATTTTCAATTAGAAGCAGCAAAATACTTCCATGCATGTGACAGTGTCTAGACACAAACTAATGAACAATGTGCCGTGCTATCTCTTTATGAAATATTAAACATGTAACTATAAAAAATAACACTGGTAAAATGTGAACAGTAACTTATAACATTTTCTTCTTGAATTCATAAACAATCTTATAAATGAGAAAAAGATCATATATAATAAAGTGCAATAATAAAGTGTCCACCACAAAATCCGGAAAAGCCGTGACAGTCATTAGCTATATATTTCGTTTTGGGCGGGGCAGGCACTCACAAGGATCCTGTGCAGTTGGCACAGGGGTTCCCAGGTGGACAAGACAGAGAGATTTACAGAAGGCTGGTCAATGGGAAGGCACAGGACCAGGCCTGCCACCATGTAGTCGCTGTGGATATCTGTCCGCTTTCCCTAGGGGGGAAGCAAAGGAGGGCAGGAGCAGCACTATCTTATGGGACTACTCGCATCCCAGTAGGATGCAGAACTCTGAGCAATACCTCTCCACTGGCTCTGGGCTACACCTCAACTGATCTCTTCTCTGCTATCTGTTGGTAACTATTCCTGTGTGCTTAAACAAGTAATGTACTTTTATCCGTGAAAGGGATGACTGAAGCCTGTATTATATTGTACATAAGAAGATGTTTAAGTAAAAGCTACAAAAGGCTCTCTGATGTGGACTGATCCTTCCCTCAACATCTAAGATGGGTGTTTCTCCAGGAAGCGGACTTGTGGTTGGCTGGACTGCTGTTGTAATATGTAAAGGAATGTATGTGGAGAGAGATCATGGCAATACTGGTCAGGCCAGGCACAGTACAAAACACAGAAATTCTCCAGCCTCAACCTGCCAGCCAGCCTGCAACCAAACAAGTAGCCCTGTCAACAGTATGCGTTAAAATCGGAGGTTTTAGTTGCACAAACTTTTGGCCAAAAATATGTAGAAGCCACACTGCCGCACCAAGGCACCTCTGCAAAGTGTGGTCCTAACTCTATGTATCCGAGTCTCCAAGTGTGAGCATATTAATGAAGTTGATAAATTACATGCAGGTGTACCTGGAGGTAGCCAACTCCTCCTGATAAGGTGCAGGGACGCACTGGAGGCCCAGCAACCAAAAATGCACGCTGGGACTCCAGTGTGTCCCCCTAACCCAAAATCTCTGATGTGGACTGATCCTTCCCTCAACCTCTAAGATGGGTGTTTCTCCAGGAAGCGGACTTGTGGTTGGCTGGACTGCTGTTGTAATATGTAAAGGAATGTATGTGGAGAGAGATCATGGCAATACTGGTCAGGCCAGGTACAGGTTGCTCTCCGAGGTGGGCTCCGCCATAGAGGGGCGATGTGCTGAGATTCCTCCCGAGGCCATGAATACATTGAGAGCACGGTGTTCAAAGTATTCCAGGGGATCTGAGCCACTACAAAGGTAGCCAGGGCAACAAAGAGTTAATGGATGCTGGGTGCCGCACAGGTGAAATACGTGAAATGCACGTAGACCAGCATGCAACCACCGCGGGGATCAGTAGGTGGATCCTGCCACACAACAGAACTATTTATGACTTTGTGATATTTTACTGAATATAGGTGTATGTGGTATGTGTACAGAGTGTGACTGCTGGTACATAAGAGAGAATTATTGAATTTATTTACTGAATGCATTTCTATCATCTTCGCTGTTGGTGTTTCCCTGCTCTTTAGATTAGGTGAGTGGATGCTGTGACATAAGCTAAACTACTTAAAATGCTGACTAAAAGGACGACTTATGCAAAAACAAATATTGTATTCTGAAAACTATATAGACTTAATTCATGTGATGACATATATGAATTCCTTTCTTTTAGTGTAACATATCTTTATTTAAGTGACATTCATGTGAAATCATGAAGGAAATCATATACTGAGTACCACCATTATCCTGTATGTGTTAACCACAGTTATCAAAATACAATATTTTTTTGACAATGTGAACATTAAAGGATAACTATGGGGTCAGTGTTTTTCCCCATAGTTCTCCTTAGGGTAACGGGAGGACACAAACTAGCGTCCTCTCGTTACCCTAAGCTCAGTATACCGTGAGCCGACTGTGACAGTCTCATTGTCACAGGTCGGCTAGAACTATGAGGTGAGTGAAAAGCACTCACCTCATAGTTCTCCTTTAAGGCTACAACTTTTTAGAGGTCTTGAGATGACTGACCAAGACATTTTGTTTTTATTTTTATAGCTCTCAGTGGAGACAACCATCGCTAGATGAACAGTCTGAACTGGGTGACATTAATGCTGACCTGAACAGCTTCCGATCAACATGGACCAAGTATATCCAGGAAAATAAGCAGAAGTGGAAAGAGAGAGCAGCAAGTGGTGAGGATACATTTCATTTCATACATTTCATCTGTGAAAGGGCAGATGCAGTAAGGGGTATGGGCAATGAGGTAGGGTAGATGCAGTGAGGTGGGGCACATGCATCAAAGTGGGGCAAATGTAGAGAGATGGGGTACAGGCAATGAAGTGGTGTAGATGCAGTGAGATGGGATAAATGCAACAAAATGAGGAAGATTCAGTGACATGGGGTACAGGAAGGGAAATTAGGTAGATGTAATAAGATGGGGTAGTTGAAGTAGGATGGCTCCGGCCACTTTCAGAGAGATCAGCGTCCCTGGTTACCTGCTAACCAGGTTGATCTCAGTATACTGTATATCAACCTGAAAGGCCCCACAGTCTACTAAAACACTAAGCAAGGGGCAGCACCAAGTAGGCGGCACCATGAAGACCAAGGAGCAAACCCAAGACCTCATCACCCCGAGAACACCATCTCTGTGGGGATATTTTTAATGGGCAGGGAGTGGCAAACTGGTCAGAATTGAAGGAATGATGGATGGTGCTAAATACAGGCAAATTCTTGAGAGAAACATGTTTCAGTCTGCCAGAGAATTGAGACTGGGATGGAGGTTCATCTTCCAGCAGGGCAATGACCCTAAGCATACTGCTAAAGCAACACTCAAGTGGTTTAAGGGGAAACATTTAAATGTTTCACAATAAAAAATATTTTGGATCTTCCAAGTGGTAGGCATGTTGTGCCAAGGGTGAATACTTTTGCAAGCCACTGTAATTAGTACACTGAATGTCAGCATAGCCTCATAGGAGTTTTATATATCAGCAAGGCATATTTTAAGGCATGTCATCTGTCAAGGTTATCAATGTGCATATTTCAGCTCTCAACCAAACTTTAAAGCCCTCAATTGGCTGGCATGATAGTTGATCACATGTGGGGCATAATGGCAACTGCAATAAAAAAAGAGGCTGAGATGGCACCTTCCTTGGCTGTAAGGGACAGGGGGTTGTAGTTCCACTTTAAATAATGGCACAGTAAAAAAACAACTTCACCAGAAGTTCTGTGTTGCCGGGATTTAGGCATTTCCAAAAGCACTTCAGTGGATCCTACATATTTTCCAGGTAGACAGAGATGTCAGGGGACTAAAAATACACATTGCAGGATTTTTTGAGGGGCTAGAGAAAGAAAATGAGTGTTGGTAACCTATAACAACAGATGCTAACCACTATTTTTTATTGTTTTAGTGAATCCTGCTTTATGTGTCTTAAAATGTTAACCTAATGTAACTTTCTTCCTTAATTTATACATTAATTCTTGTTCCATTTTTGTCGTTTTTAGGAATCACGAACCAAACGTCTGTGGATGAACTTTCGCCCTGTGTGGAAGAGCACAGCACAGAGGAAAATGGTAACCTGGACTAGTGCACAGTTTCCATGGAGACCAGGTAGGGTCGTGCACAGAGAGACAGGTCAGGACAGGCAGGTCACAACGGAAAAGGCTGTGAATGTATAAATCTGCATGGTTCAACGATACGAGCAAGCAGATTTATGTACTGATCATTCTACAAAATGGACTGTCCATAGTGAAATCTTCAGAACATCATTATGTTTATAGCCACCCTAGGGTTCATACGTTGGCTTCCTTTGGGACACCAATTATCTTATGAAAAGCTAAACACCAAGTAAACATCCATGTACAAAGCTGAGATACATATATATATGAGCTGTTATACCAGCTAATGCAATCATCTTTTGTTCACACAGTATAGCCAGGCTATGCCCTTTCGCTAACCATTCTGCAAGTTACAAGGCACTGATTAGGTCATCACTGTGCTCTCTCTGTGCAATCTACCATTGGAGGCACATGCTGTCGCAGAGTTACAGAAATGACTACTAATACAGAATGCCTGCCTGCCTTTAGTTAACTGAGCACCAGGTGGTGACAGGGGCTCTTTCTTGAAAGCATAACTCGATTAAATGTTGGCTTTCATTATCTATTTTGTATAATATAGTAGAGATCTAAAATAGACCCATTACTTTACAAATCATTGCTGCAGGAGATGTGGCAGACGTAGTTATACTTTTACAGTAGTAGTAGTAGTAGTAGTAGTAGTAGTAGTAGTAGTAGTAGTAGTAGTACTAGTAGTAGTAGCATAGAAAGTGTTTTTTTCCCTTTTACACAGTTCAATGATGATCTGAGGAATCAAACTGAAGGGTGGTGCAGTGTAATCATAATGAAACAAATAGTTGCACCTTTTCCAGGTCTAAATAGCCAAATCAATTTGTATATAATAATGGCTAGCTATAGCTTAACTCATAGTAATCTTTCAATGCACTCTTCCGTCACGGGCCCCGCCTACTATGATACTGGCCCCGCCTCCCACCTCCTCCTCCCCACCACCACGTCCAGCCTCCTCCACCGCCGCTGCTGACTATCATTGACTCAGCAGCGGCTATGGAGAAGAACGCAGCGCTGCACAGATCACGGTGATCTGAACAGCGGCGCGTTCGAACCCATAGCGACCCAGGCGGCCCGCATGGCATCAGGGGGGTGTCCTGGCTGGGCCCCCCTGTGCCCGGGCCCCATAGCGGCCGCCTGGATCACTATAGCTATTGTTACGACACTGTATAGTCTAACATATTTTTTAAAACCTGACAACTGAAAGGGCAAGTGTTTGCTAGATTACAGATAAGAGACAGCAAAGGCAGGATATTAATACTGTGGTGATTTTCATTCATGTCCAATGAACAACTGGAGGAGGGACAGACAGATTAGAAAAAAGGGGGTTGTGAGAATGGAGACACTGCCATTTCATACATTTCTTATATCATATTGTAAATTAGTTACATTTCTTCCTAATATCAGTGTGTCCCAAACATTGTTTAGGGGTCTACCACCATCCCAGCCTTTCCCAGTAATCTTTTAGGAAGATATTATTAGACTGCCACTTAGACTATTAAAGTGAACATAGGGACATTAAAACTGAGCACGCATACAGAAATGTTGCTATGAGTGGCAACTTGATGACAACCTTTGTCCCACCCATAATTCTAACTATCTTGATCCTTCAGTGTGGAATTAGGGTTTGCTTCCAGGAGAACCAGCATCCCTGACATATTTTTTTTATAAAATGGCAACTAGCAACTTTAAAAACAGATAATCTTGATTTAATCTATGATCCTTCTAGTACCTAACATCTGCAGCTGCTAGAACAGTGAGCATATTCCCTCATAAGATGGCCCTGTGTAACTCCAGAGCCACTTAGATAAGAATAGATAAGAACCATGCCATAGATAGATAAGAACCATGCCATCTTTGGTCCATAATGGTTTATGCTATAATATACTTACATGTATCTCTCTCTCTCTTCATTTAACAGGCACTACTCCATCTACATAGAGGTCCAGATCCCATCCCTGCAGTACAGAAGGACTAGGGCACAGGGAATAAAGAGATTGGATCTAAAGTCGCAGGTCACTTGGCACGCACAGAACATCTGGCATTCAGGGAACTTGACTGTCCTCAGAATCCCTTGTTTGTGACACTGTGTGGGCTGACCCACAGATCATTGCACAGCTCTTTCTCTCTGTCCACCTGTCTCTGCTTTGTGGGTCTGTCTCTTTTTTTGTGGATCATTAGGATGCCACCATATTGAACTGCCTTTGCTCTGTTCAGCCTCTAAAACAGAGCTGTCTTTTTCCTTTTGTGTGTCTCCTAGATTAGGACACTTTTTAATTTTTTATTTTTGCTGTACACAGTCACCACCAGTCACCAACGTACAATCATCCACATTTTATATTGTTTGCCTCTCATGGCTCTATCAAAGCTCTGCATGACTTACGGTAGTTCTTGTTTTTCCAGAGTGATGCAAAAAACACTTCACTTATGCACAGTGACATGAAGAACAGGATATAGAACTCTGGCTCTTCACCTCACCTCAAGATTGAAACAAGGAGTTGTTCAAACTAAAGTAAATGTCATTTTGTAACTTAGGAAAATGCAATATAACAAAACATTGAACAATGTTCACCAAAAAAAGTTACAAATAGACAAATGCATCCAAGAATTTGTTCAGAGTAGGGGTCCTCAAATCAGCCCTCAGGGTCCACTAATATTTATGTATGAGTTGTGACATCTGGAATCCACCAATAGCAAATAGTTTGAGACTCACTGATTCTGAGCCACCTGGAAGAATAAAGAGAGTGGACCTGTTCAGAAGGATCATTACAATGTAGTTATTCAGCAGGGGACCAAAGCATGTTAGTACTTACAGTAGTTTAAATAGGTGAATGCAATGTTTTGGATTTTTTGAATTAGTAATGCAACATTCCACCTAGTACATTGTTGATAAATTTCTCCTTGTTAAATGCCGCTACACATATGTCCTCTCCAGCTAATTATGATGTGCAGAACCTAATCTTGTTACTTCCTCTAAGACCCTAGCAAGAGGACATCAGACATCTTCCAAGAAGAATAGCAATGCTCTGCACACGTTTCCTTCTAAGACTATGCAGAGCATTGTTCAGTTGAGAATTCCTAAAAAAACTAATTTCCAAGCCAAGCACCTGTAGATCATTGTATGTTCTTCATTCCCTGTGGTGTCCTGTTGTGTCCTGTCTGTGTCATTGGTTTTGATGTTGTGTTTCTGTGCCTTGTTTTGAAGTGTGCTGTACAAAGTCTATCTCAAACGACTGTGTGTTCATCAACCTTTCAAGTACCTTAATAAGGACACAAAAAACATTTTAGTTACTTTACAGAGCCTGGTGTGGTTTAAGATATCAGTTGCTTACTGGTTGGAGATTACCAGTCTATTCTTTTTTTCACAAATAATTTTTGGTTAATATATTGAGTTCGTACCTAATCATCACATCTCAGGTTAAAGATTTTCAGGGAGCTGCATTACCATTATCTGTTTTGCAGACAATGGGGTTTAGATGGGTTAGAGTCAAACAGAAGCCGTATAGCCTCAGTTATGTTTGTTTCTCTTTCAGAGAGAAACTCTTTTAGATGATTCTGATGTGATACTTATTAGATACTGTAGATTTGATAGTTCCCATAAAGCATCCTAATGAGACTAACTTGACATTTAAATCTGTTTAGCCATCTGTAAAAAAATGCAGAGGATTAAGATATTGGAAAAAACTGAAAATACATTACGTACAGTATGAAGAGTTCAGTTTAGGAAGTCTGAACACATTTGTAAGTACTTTAGTAACAGACCATGTTAGTGCTCTGTAGAGTAGAGGGTCTAGTCAACTGCTAGAATCGTACATAATGATTACAGTGGACCTTCTAGGACAAAATTTACTTTCTCTTATTTTATCTTTTTATTCTTTCTCTTATACTTTATCACACACACTCGCAGATACTTTTTCTTTATTTATTTTTGTTGTTGATTGAGGGACAAAGGAATGTAGCAACAGACATTATGTTATATGGCCCCCTACAGGGAGTCTGGCAGATAAAAATTGTTAAGGGCTTAATCACACCATGATACCATGTGCGTTAAGCTGCGTTTTTCTGCACACCACTGCACATATATGGTGTATGCCCTGTACAGACTATACATGTGTGGTGGTGTGCAGAAAAGCGCAGATGAACGGACATAATGTAAACAAGTCATTAGTCAGGTCCCATATTACCCCCCCTTCAATCATCATGCCTCAGTGCTTGCCAGTGTCATGGGAATTTGGCGCCTATATTTTTGCTTATATTGTTTCTTCAGTGGCTCTAATCAAGGCTTTGAAAATGCTGCTTAAAATAACCTTAACATACCAGCTATCCAGATCAGCATATCCTCAGCAACATGTTTGAAAGCTGTACCTGGACCCTGCTGAACTGGAAGATTGCAGGACTAGCCTGGAATGTGATCCTTGGGCACTGGGTTGTGCGTTGTACCACAATCCAGACTGTGTACTCTGTTAGTTAGCCACAGAGTGCTCTCCAGGTCCAGGGCCATAGCACATCCTCTGGTATGACCTAGTCTCTGAGGACTCACATTTTGAGTAAGGCAAATCAGGTTGAAGCTCTGGGAGCTAACTCACAGTTTATACCACTAGGCACCATTTTAAAATTCCTGCCACCACCATTTTATGGGAGTAACAGTTAAGCTCAGGGAGTGCTGCCGTCATGTGCTAAGTGGAGTGCTGTGTGTGTCCTCTGCACTCTTTCTCCCACCATTCAGCCTAGAGGAAGCATCTTTCAGCTGCTATTCTTGCTTCTGCAATTCTCCATGGATTTGCCTCCCGTTCACTGGTTTTGTTCCAATGCCTGTCTACAGTGACTTGGCCTACAACCCTCTGCAGGATCAGGTGCTTGCGTTTGTGAGCACGCAAGCAGGTAGCATTTCAGGTACCATCCCTAAGAATGATTACTTATTCTGATCTGAAACGCCAGATTGATTCTTTGTGCCCTTCCTTCAGTTGTGGCAATTTTCACATTTGCTTTGGCCCTATTTCATCTAGCCTTCTTTCAGGTGCTGATTTCTTCAGATACTCTTATAGTAAGATTTCCACATCTATTGGATTTCTTAGTGGCTATTGCCTACCCCTTATTTGAACTGGTTTTGGGTGTCCCAAATGTCTATGAAGTACTACATTCCTGTTCAAATGAAGTGGTTGGATGATGCTGGCTATCAGACTGAGAAAATCTAATGCCAGAAGGAAAGTACTGCTGGGAAAATCTCTGGATTGAAGCTAAATATCGCAGTAAAAGTTGGTTTTATTTTATCTTTTATTGGGGTATTATTTTTTAGGCTGGAGTTCTTCATTACGTTACTAAAGATTCAAGCTTTCGAGATGCCTTAAATCTCTTCTTCAGGCTTTATACATTTCTTAAAATGGTTTTTGAAATCCCACATATTTATACACGTAGTTAAAAGGAGGAGCAATTAACTATATGTATTTAAAAATATAACACCTTACAATCCTCACCTCAAATGAGACTCTTTTAAAATATCCATATACCAAAAAAGCATTGAAATACAACCAAAGGGCTCTCATCTGAGACAAGATTTGTGCCAAGACTTTGCCATGCAAGGCATCAAGAAAAAAAATAGTATTTTTAAATATTTATATTTCATTGCTCCTCTTTGTAACTAAGCCTGGAGAAGGGATCTAAGACATCTTGAAAGCTTGCATCTTTAATAACTTAAGTTGGCTGTAAACAGTTCTTCTAATTTGTAGACCTGTAATCCATTTTACAGCATTTAAACAAAACAAACAAAAAAATATATAAATGCCTCCCTAAAATGTGTTTCTCTGGTGGAGTGGACAGTTTTAGAGCCTTCAGGATCTTCACAGCTGTAAGAGTCCTCTATGTGGAGATCTCTCACAAGCCAAGTACAGCCATGACAGTCTAAAAGTGTGCCTGTAAGCCAAGGTGCTATGGTCCCTCACCTGAGTGAATACTCCATTCCTGTGAAGAATCTAGTAGAAGGTACAGGGAATGGTGCCTGCCCTATAATCCATCTCCATAGGAAAATACACCAATACAGGGGCTTGTGACACAAGTAACTCAGTTTTCAGTCACTTTCATTCTATCACACCCATGGTAAGGAATAGGGACATCAGTTTGAAATTGCATTTTCAAGGCCAGTTGATTGTTGCCTTCCTATTACATTAATGGAATGAAGCTTTGCATCCCTTTGAGTAGTCTCAGTATTGATACTTTTTGTACTGAAAGAAACTGAAGGATATAGAAACCTAGGAACAAAAATGTAATATATTGCAGCTTACCAGTCATTAGATGTAGTAGCATTGGTTTTCATTTTTCAGGCATAGTAAGTACAGAAAATATCTGTTGATCTTGCTGGAAATAGAAGTTTCTTTCTGTAAATTGAAGTGAAATCACAAACAAATCAAAAATGTTGTTTTCCTTCCAATCTATCTTCTGCAGACTACATTTTGTTTTCGCCCCAACCCCCGTTCCCCCAAGTAATAAAGAGAGGTACACATGTGTGTAGTCCAATAGTCCAAATCACGAGATACACCTTGTGTGGCAACCATGGCTTCCTCCATGTAAACAGTGGAGTGAGTGAGTGTAGCCACCCTAGTATAGGAAGAGTGGAATTCGCAGAATTACCAGCCTTCCATTCTGTTGTGAAAGTCCACATAGGCAAACAGCTTAGCCTCAGCTGAGTTCATATAGGCAATAGCTGACGGTCACAGGAAATGGTGTCTCTAACATTGGCCTGTAGAGACCAGAGCAACACTAAAATGCTAGTACATATGAGTAGGTAATATACTTCCATATTAGACATGTGCACTGCCAAAAAATTCGTTTAGTTTCGTTTCGTTTTAAATTCGGATTTGTGTTATTTCGTTTTTCGGGATTCGGGTGTGAAAGTCAATTCGGATTCGGAATTCGGATTCGGACGAAATTCGGTAGCGCTAGTTCGAACGTTCGTTTCGTTTTCGGTTCTTATTTGTTTCTTATTCGTTTCGTTCGTTCGTTTGCAGCAAAGTGACATTTGAGGGGGAAAAAATGTTTTTCTCCTTCTCTAATGTCACTTTGCTCCAACGAACGAAACAAATAAGAAACGAATACGAACCGAAAACGAAACGAACGTTCGAACTACCGCTACCGAATTTCGGAAATGGAAATTCGGATTCGTTTGCATTCGTTATGTCTGTAATTCGGAATTCGGATACATCCGAATGTCCGAATTTCCGAAAATTTGTCCGAATTTCGATTCGGAACGAAACGCACATGTCTATTCCATATATTAGTTCAGGTTTATTTTTGCAAGCTCATTATTTTTAAACAGTTAAAGGACAATTTTAAATATAACAATGAACTTGAGTTCGAAGGAGAAATAAAGAAATCAAAGGGCCAGCTTGACTAGGTCACTGAAATTCTCAGTATGTGTAAAACTAAAATCCACAAATATAACATAGACTTTTTATTAAGACATTGTTTAATAAGTTATCAACTTTTTCCAATACGGTATGTATATAAAGCTGCAACCATCTTAATGTTTTGCTTCCTTTCTTTGTACTTCCCTTGCTTGCTGTACAGAAAAGCACTTTAAAACACTA